TCCCCAGGATTCCGAATCCCAAGCATCCCTGTGAATTCACAGGGATGCTTGGGATTCGCGGCCTTGGGGAGGGGGGGGGGGGGCCTGGGTAGATTATTGTCGGAGGTAGGAAATCCCAGGAATCCCAGGCATCCCTGTGAAATCATAAGGTTTGTGGGATTAACATCCCAGAAATCCCAAGCATCCATGTGAAATCACAGGGTTCGGTGCCTCTCGGGCCCACTGTGTGTGCAGAATGCTCGCCACAAGCTCAGGGTTCCCTCATTCGGGGGACGGCGCCGTGTGCATGTTCTACAGCGCGCTGCCGTTAGGCGTTGGCCAGCCTTGCGGCCAGAGCGCGCGCGAGTGGAGTCGAAAAAACGCCCCCGCTGACGCCAGGGGAAGATGTAAGCGAGGAAGGGGAGGGAAAGGAAGGGGAGTGAAAAAAGGAAGGGAAAGGAAAGGAAGAGGAGTGTAGAACATCGCCAAGATAAAGAAGGCGATGAATGGGTGCTGGGGGGGGGCTGTCCATATATATGTATATGTGCATACATACATGCATACATACATATATACATGTATGCATACGTGCATACATACATTACATACATACATACAGTACATACGCACATACATACAGACATACGTAAATATCGACCTACCTACCTACCGACTTACCGACCTACCTACCTACTTACGTACATACATTCACACACATACATACATGCATGCACGATTGCATGCATATGTACATGCATGCATGCATGAATGCAAACATAAATACATAAAAACATATAAACATACATACATACATACATACATACATACATACATACATACACACAAATCAGACAACAACTTAGAAACACACATGCACACACAGACACATAAGTACCTACGCACCCACATGCATGCATGCATGTAAGCATTTATCCATGCAACCATACAGACCGCCATCCATACATGCATACACCTGCGTACATACATACACACATAACCGCATGGATACAGCCGTACATACATACGCACAGACCAAAAGTCATGCAAACATACACGCATACACACAGACCTACTGGCCTCCATACATACGGATATGCATACACGCATACCTGCTGACATACGTACATGCATGCAGACGCAAACAAAAACATGTACCCATATATGCATACATCCATACACCATGCGTACAGGCATACACACATACACCTAACCACAAATACATACAAACATACAGACAGACAGAGAGACAGACATACAGACACATGCAGACACACATACTTATATAGAAATATGCATGCATGCGTGCATACACACATTAATACATACAAACAAATAAACATACATACCTGTATCTGTATATATACACATAATCACATGCATGGATGCATACATACATACAGAAATATGCGTTCCGGCATACACACATACACACATACACACATACACGTACATAAGACACGCGTGGCCATGCTGCGCGCGAAATCTATCGCATCATCCTGTTCCTTCCTGCTCCCTCCACCCTCGAAACTGCGCTGGCACTCCAAACTCATTGTGGATTTCAGTTGCGCGGGCGCGCCGTGCTCGTCGAATCCCACCAGCCCTTTGGGCGTGAGTGGTTTAGGGAGCTCTCTCTGTTCTCAGCCCCCCTTCTTCCCCTTCGGGGTTTACCCCTCCCCCTACCCCCTCCCCCTGGGCCTGGAGAGGGCGCCTCGCGGGTGGTCAGGGGAGTCCTTTTCGACTCCTGGGAGGGCTAAAAAACGACACCCCTCACGAGGATTCTGGCCCCGACGGGGGGAGGCAGAAAAAACTCTCTCCTCTTCTTTGAAGCCCAAATCATTGATTTTACTACGGTTTTGGCCCCATCTTCGCCTTCTGAGGGGGCAGCGCTCATTAAAGCTCCCCTCTTCCTTCAAGGCAAAATCATTGATTTTACGAAGGTTTTGGCCTCATTTTGCCCTTCTGAGGGGGCAGCGCTCATTAAAGCTCTCCTCTTCTTTGATCGGTTCCCTCCAAGATGGCCCCAAGAAGCGCCCAGGAGGCACCAAGAGGCCCCAAGATGGCCCCAAGAGGCCCCCAGGAGGCCCCCAAGAGGCCTCCAAGAGGCCCCCAAGATGCCCCCAAGATGCCCCCAAGAGGCCCGAAGAGGCTCCCCCAAGGCACCCAAGACGCTCCTAGAAGCCCCTGGGGCCGCCAAGAGGCCCCCAAGACGCCCCAAAAGGGGACGAGGTGCCCGAACGCCTCACGCCACGAGGAGCCCGAACGACTCACACCAGGACGAGGGGCCCGAACGACTCACACCACGAAGAGCCCGAACGACTCACACCAGAAGGAGGGGCCCGAACGACTCACACCAGGACGAGGCGCCCGAACGACTCACACCACGAGGAGCCCGAACGACTCACACCACGACGAGGGCCCCGAACGACTCACACCACGAGGAGCCCGAACGAGTCACACCAGGAGGAGGGGCCCGAACGACTCACACCAGGACGAGGGGCCCGAACAACTCACACCACGAGAAGCCCGAACGACTCACACCAGGACGAAGAGCCCGAACGACTCACACCACGAAGAGCCCGAACGACTCACACCAGGAAGAAGGGCCCGAACGACTCACACCAGGACGAGAAACCCCAAACGACTCAAACCACGAGGAGCGCTTTCTCTCCCTCCTCCTCCGCCTCGTCCTTCTCCCGCTCCCCCCACAAGGAGGATGTACAAGGAGGCGGGAGGAAGGAGGAACAGGGGAGATCTGCGGGGCCAAGCGGACACACGCCTGAAAAACACGACTGTCGGCATGCTTCGCAAGAGTTGCTGTTTTGAGATGGGCTGGTGGGGATACGCGAAGCGAAAAGAATTTCGGGTTCAGAAGAACATCCCCTAATTGGGGTTGCGCCGTGTTCGTTTCAAAATGTGGCTATCGCTGCTACGCCGCGCACGCTCCTTTTTACAATTTGTGACAGGTTGAAAGGCTCGCATGGTGGTCCCAAGAGTTCTGGTCTGCTCCGGTTAGGGATTGTCAGGACGCAATAGTGACTTTTATTCGCGGTGGTGGAATCCCAGGAGTTCTGTCACGGCACGATTTAGGAGTGTCAGGACGCAGCAGTGACTTTGATCCGCGGCGTTAGAATCCCAAGACTGGCGTTTTGGCACAATTGGGGGTCATCCGTTGTCTTCAAACGGGGCACTTCCCGCAATGCAAATAAATTGATTGCATGACTCATGAATGGGAAACTTGGAGGGTTGAGTGCAACATCGTTGGCGCTCCTTGTATTCATACTGGTCCTCTTCCTCCTTCTCCTCCTCCTCCTCCTCCGCCCCCTCGTCGTCGTCCTCCTCCCCTCCCCTCCTCCTCCTCCTCCTCCTCCTCCTCCTCCTCCTCCACCACCCTTCTCCAACCCCTCCTCATCATACTCTCTCCTCCTTCATTTTCTCGTTTGTATTATTATTCCTAGTGTTATTATTATCACTATCATTATTATTATGTTTTGTCGCCTCCTCCTCCTCCTCCTGCTCCTCCCCCTCCCTCTCCTGCTCCTGCTCTCCTGCTCCTGCTCATGTTCCTGCTCCTGCTCCTGCTCCTGTTCTTCCTCCTCCTCCCCCTCCTCCTCCTCCTCCTTCTCCTCCTCCTCCTTCTCCTCCTCCCTCTCTTGCGCCAACTCCTGCTCCTGCTCCTGCCCCTGCCCCTGCTCCTCCTCTTCCTCCTCCTCCTCCTCCTCGTCCTCCTCCTCCTCCTCCTCCTCCTCCTCCTTCTCCTCCTCATCGTCCTCCTGCAGGTGCGTGGTCTCGGGTGTCAGGCGGCCGTCATCCGAAGGACAGTATGAAGGCCCGCCCCCGACTTTCCCAGCCCTTCCCTGCAGCCCAGCTCCTCAAGGAAGGGGCGGCGATGTAGGGTCGAAGAAGGGCGTAAGGGGAGAACGGATGTAATCCCAAGGTTTCGGTTAGGGTCGGGTCGGCCTAACCCTAGCCTTCATCTTCAGCATGTGATGGTCCTCCTCGTCCTCCTCCCTCTCTTCCTTCCCTCCTCCTCGTCCCTTTAAACCTTCTCTTCGTCCACCTCCTTCTCCCCCCCTCCCCCATCATTCCTCCACCCTGCTCCGCCTCTTCCTTCTCCCACCCGCCCCATCCTCCTGCTGCTTCTGCTGCTCCTCCTCCTGTTCTGCTGTCCCCCACCCCCCTCCCGCCGCCCTCCTCCAACTGCAGCTGCCTCTCCTCCTCCTCCTCCTCCTCCTCCTGCTCCTCCTCCTGCTCCTCCTCCTTCATTCCTTTTCCTTAAGATTAACTCCTCCCTGTCGCAACGTGTCGGTAGAGCGGGTCGGGCGTTTCACTTCAGACTTGCTTAACACTCACGGTCTGGAGATTGAACTTCAGGGATGCAGGGGGCGGGCCGCTTCCAACATGTGGCTCTCGATTCAGCGCCACGCAACTTCATCTAAAACGTGTGCAGCAGCTTTAAGGAAGGAGGGCGAGAAACTTTCAAAATGTGGCTCTCGCCCTGGTGCCGCGCACATTCGTTTCATTCGCAACAGCTTCACGGATGGAGTGTGGGCCGTTCTCAAACTATGCCTCCCGCCTTTAGCGTCGGGCACATAGGTCTCACGAGTTCGCAGCAGTTGCAAGGAATCGGATGGCTGAAGTCCCAAGGATTTTGCTATGGCCTGGTATGGGACTGTCAGGACGCAAACGTATTTTCGATTCGCGGTAGCGGAGTCACAGGAATCGTGCTCTGGCACGGTTTAGGGCTGTCAGGGCGCACCAGTCACTTTGACCCGCGGCGTTCAAGTCCCAGGAATGGCGTTCTGATGCACTTGGGGACTCTAGTTAAAACGGCACTTCCTGTACATGTTTTGGCTTGTGGAGACCGATGATGAAGAGGGAACCTTGAGGGAGGGTTTATTGCATTATCGTTGCTGCGTATTGGTTTTGCACTGGTCCTCCTCCACCTCCTGCGCTGCCGTCGTCATTGTTGTCGCCGCCGGCAGCGGCGGCGATGGCGGCGGCGGCACCACCGCGCGGGCTGCTCCTGTGCGCCCGCCTGGGACCAGTGCCCCTCCGGCAGGGCGCCACAGGCCCCGCAGCCACCCTGCGCGAAGGCCTGCGCGGCAGCCAGGTGGCCCCAGCCCTGGTTGGCGGCGCGCAGAGGGGGGTAGGGGGAGGGGGGAAGGCTTCTCAGGAGGAGGCTGCTTCTTAGAAGGCGCGGACCTTACATTTACAGACAAGGCCCACGCCTTCTGAGAAGCAGGGGGCACTTCTAAGAAGCCTTCCCTCCTCCTCCTCCTCCTCCTCCTCCTCCTCCTCCTCCTCCTCCTCCTCCTCCTCCTCCTCCTCCTCCTCCTCCTCCTCCTCCTCCTCCTCCTCCTCCTCCTCCTCCTCCTCCTCCTCCTCCTCCTCCTTCCCCGCTCCCCCGACCCCCCTCTGCGCTTGGCCGACCTGGGCGCACCCCGCCGCGCTCCATTGCTCCTGGGGGGGGACCCGCTCTTGTCTGCATAGTCCCCGAGATCCTGGCGTCGCGCTTTTCTCTTCGGGCGTCTCGGGCCCCAGGCCCCTCACAGACAGATCTGGCTCGTAAGACGCAGAAGGAAGATGGGGTCCAAGGCTCGGGGACGGTGACATTTTACCGAGACTGGGCTGGGGGGTGGACCGGGGACCGGGGACCAGGACTGGGGACCGGGCACAGGGGCTCCGGGGGCCCAGGGGCTGGAGACTGGGGATCAGGGACCGGGGACCGGGGACCGAGGACCGCGGTCTGGCCAGGAACAGGAGACCGCACTGGCCCGGTGCCACTGGGAACAGGAACTCGGGGACCGGGAATCGAGGCACCGGGGATCGGGGCACCGCGGGGACCAGGGCTCCGGGGGACCCGACCAGGGACAGGGGACCGAGGACTGTAAAGGGCCCGGCTTATGGCCTGGGGAGGCCTGCCCAAATAATCGAAACGACCGCCTCCGAACAAGCCCAGGAAGGCCCTGCCTGACGCATGGGCGCATTACAGGGCGCACTGTCCAGCGAGATGCCATTCTTGAGTTGCGTTGTGTGTTCGGATGCTGTGCTCAGCCTTCTCGTGGAAGAGTCACCCAACACAGCAATCAACGCTGCGATGCCCGAGGCATCAACCTGCCCCCGAAAAAACACCCACCGCCTCGGCGCTGGCGGCCACGCACCGCCGACGCCGATCTCTGGCCACGTCCACGAATCCAACCGCGGCGACGAACCCGTCGACGCAGGTTACTTAAAGGGATGGGGCGGATATGATCTAGAAATGGCTTCGCCCCCCGAAGATGTTTCGGAGATGTTCTGGAGATGTTTTGTAAACATGTTCGCTCCCCAGCGATGATTTGGAGATGTGCCTGAAATGTGTTGTAGATGTTTTGGCCCCCAGGATTTCGTAGATAATCCAGAGATGTTTTGTAAATGTGTTCGCTCCCCGGAGATGTTCGGATATGTGCTGGAGATGTTTTGTAGATGTTCTCGCCTCCCGAAGATGTTTCAGGGATGTTCTGGAGATGTTTGTTGACGCCCCCTGGGGATGTTTGGAGACGCTTTTCGGCCGAGGTTCGGCCCGCGAACGGAATCAGGCTCGCGTGACCACCTCTGCTCTGCATTGTGCATCATTTCACGCGAAGTTCGCTCCGTGAACAGAATCGGGTTTGCGCGGCCGCGGTTTCGTTCGGCGTGGCCGTATCGTCTGTCGATTTCGCAAGGGGCGTCTGACATGCTTCGGAGATGTTCCGGATATGTTTGGGAATGCCTTCGCCCCCCAGAGATGTTTCGGAGATGGTTTCGCCCGCCCCAGAGATGCTCGGAGATGTTCCGGAAAGGAGGTTTGGAGATGTTTCCGAAGCAGCGATTTTGGCTCAAGCCATCAGATCTCCGAGATGATCGATTCATCGCTCCAGATCAGCCCTTCCAGCTAGCTTTCGCCATGGCGACTCCGGCACTGGCGTCGCCAGCAGCCAGTGGCTGCACCCGCGCTCCAGGCACCCCGGTCGGGCATCTCGTCCAGGACACTTGGGAGAACATGGCCAAAAATCACCGCTCTGGACATGGCCCTGACGCCCCAGCGACCCCGCTCCTCGGCGAGATGCGCGCGGAGGATCAGGGGTACGTGCAGATGCCTGGAGGCCACGTGGATGGCTCGGCCGAGAGGGACGCTCCACAGCCTGATTTCGGCGCTGCGGCTGCCTCCTCGAACAAGGACGAGGAGCCTGTCATGATGGCCGGAATTGCTGCTCTCCTTCAGCAGCAACTGGGCCCCGTGATCTCGGTGGTGGCAGATCTCAAGAAACGGTTCATGAAGCTCGACAGCAAAGTTACCGACATGAGCAGTTCCCTAGAGGGCCGCTTGGACGACGCGGATGCGAAGCTGACCGATGCGGACCTGCGCATATATAGAGAAGCTCGAGAGCATCTACGCGGCCATGCAGGCCCCCCCCCCAGCGCCGCGGAGATCGACGTGACGATCTAGGAGAGCATCCAGCAGGCCTTCGCGAGCCAGGCTTCGCATCAGGCGCCCCTCACCAAGAACATTCCGCTGGTCCTGGCCATCGCTCGGACGTCCATTTCCTGTTTTTTTGTTCGGTTTCGTGCGTGGTTTTTTCGCCAGGTGATCAAGGATGTTCCTCGATGGTCCTCGCCGAAGGAAAAATGCACACGTCCGAGCGATGCCAAGGGTCGACAGGAAAGCGGCCACTGGTGCTCGGCAGTCTGGACTGCTTCGGGCACTTCTCGGAGGCCGCCGAACATGTACAGTCGGGGCGTTGACCTAAAGGGCAGCTCACGAACATGTACAGTCGGGGCGTTGACCTAAGGAACCCTAAATAAGGAACGAGGCCCCTATTTTCCATAAGTTAAACTTCGATTTCCTATCGAAAACCTAAGGAAAGCCTGAGGCAAGCTGCGAAACAATCAAGGAACACGGAGCTCCTCCCCAACGAAAAGGGTTCCTTCTTCAGCGCCCCGACTGTGCGTCAAGGGCGACTTGAAGGGCGTCGTCGTCGCCGAGTTCTCTGACACTGCGGTGCGGGACCAGGCAGTGGCACTCCTCCGTGGTGCGGCCCTCGCCAGTGGAGGCAAGAAGAAGGTCTGGGCCACGGAGGACCAAGCGGCCAGCGAACGTGCTGCGAGGAACTCCTGCCTGGGCTTGAAGCGGGTTCGGGAGGAGTGGCAGGTCCCGTGCACCATCTCGTTCAGCAACGCGGCGCCGCACGCGCTCAAGGTGGGAGGCGAGCACGCGCTTACCGTGAGCGTCTCCGGCACCACCGTGGAGTACGAGTGGCAGGGGGAGTGGGCGACGTGGTCCGAGCTCCACCACCACTCCTCGATCAAGGACCTGAGAAAGAAGCCTGACGACCTGCTCCCGCGGGCCTCGCAGGGGCTCACGGGAGGCGCGAAGGGCTGGTCGGCGGCCCCAGGAGAAAGCACGGCAAATGAGCGATGTTTCTCCCGAGTTCGCCGTCGGCCCTACTGCGGCCATTAACCATGACCGAATTCATTCTTCCGACTCGTCAACGTTTTTTTATTCGGCGTTTCGACATTGGGCGGAAGGGGAGGGGGAGGGGGGGGTCCTGGCTCTGGACCTCTGCGTGCTGCCACTGTTTGCAGCAGTGCGGCCTCTGGGAGGGACTCCGCCCGCTCGAAACAAGCGCGAAAAACAGCCAAGATCTACTCCACGGGGGGAGGGGGACGGGGGGGTGCGGGGGCCCGCGCCGATCGGCAAAACAATGAATAGCAGAAAGGATCACATTCCGACTCCTGCCAAGCATGTTTACCAGCAGCCGGCACTACTGCAGCCACCTCCCGCTCTCCCTCCTGGGCGTCCGAAGCACTGCGCTTCCAGGGTGGCGCCCTGCGGCCGCGCCCCCGGAGGCTGCGGATAGCATCTTGGAGCGCTGAGAGCCTCCACGAGGCCAAGCAGGCAGAACTTGAATGGCATATATGACACCCATGCATTCTGTTGCTCCCATCGTACTGAGGGACCCCATCCCCGAAACAATTCCGAGCACCCCGGAAAATGTCGAAACAGTGCCGGACGAGTATCGCCTCCCAGGGCCCGACATGTGAAACCCGTCAAGTTTCGGTACGTTCTTGGTGCTCGAAATTCTGTGGTGATCAAGGCTAACGTAGGTTTGGAACATCCTAACCCACGCAAATCGACGTGATGTGCATCCAAGCGACACACAAGACCGGAGCCGAGTTCTCCGTCTCTGGCGACGGATTCCTCCGCGTCCTCTCCAGCGCCTCGGACCCAAAGGAGAAAGAGACGGCTGGGGTCGGCTTCATAGTCTCGCCGCGCATCCGCACGGCCGTCGTGGGGTTTAGGCAGCGGGACTCTAGGATGGCGCCCCCGAAGTTGCGCGTGAAAGGCGGCAAGAGCATGATATACACTACGTGCGCTCCCCATAGCGTCCAGAGTTTCCAAGACCGACGGCAATACGACTCTAACCTCAGTGCCTTCATCGACAGCGGCTGCCGGCATGGCCCTGCCCTGGTCTTGGGGGACTTCAGCGCTCGGCTCCGTCGCAGGTATCTGGGCGAAGAGCACGGAAACCATACAAATTCAAACTTCTGGGCGCGGTCTACAATCCGTCGTCAAGTCGGAGCCTCCTCGCCGAGCTCTGCGTGATCCAGAAACCACTCATTGGGAATGCTATGTTCGACAATCCGCCAGAGAAGCAGATCATTTGCTACAACGTGGGCAGAAGGCCGTGCGACCACCCGTCCCGAGATAATTTTGAACAAATTGATTTCGCTCAAATATCACAGGGCTGGACCCAGCACCTCTCGGATGTGCACAGGGACCGTCGCTGGGCGATGGCTTCTCACTACTTCATGGTTTGTGCCGACCTCGACCTCGAAGAGTCGGTCGACAAGAAAACTCGCACTCCGCAGCCAGATTTCCGAGCCCTCCAGAGCCCGCCAAGGGCGGCTGCCTTCGCAGAGGCTTTCGGGGAGGCGGCGGGGAGGGCGACCGCTGGCTGGATGGCAAAGGAACTAGATGCGACTATGCTGCCAACTTTTCGCTCTTCGGCTGCTGCAATCAATCCGGAGAACACGGCCTCGCCCGAGAGGCCCTGGATCTCGCCCCGCACCCTATCGCTGAGCAGAGAGCTGACGCCCGGCACTCGGGACGATAAAGAGGAGCGTCGTCTGCATCTGGAGGTGATGCGGCCGGTCAAAGACTACAGGTCGGTCTGGCTCGACCATTTGCCTGAGACGGGTGAATGAGACGAGGTCCGCAAACTCAGAAAAGGCTTCGCTCCTGCGCGGCATGGGCGCCTAAGTGGGATGGGTGGTGAAGTGGCGCAGTCGGATAAGAAAACCGACACGATGGCCGATGACCCGTGCGCTGCTCAGTGGGCTCCACGTGCAACGACGCCGATGGCACCTGCCCCAATTGGTCTGCGGGCCAGAGAGGGAGCTCCCGCTCGACACTTCGCCGCCGTTCACTCACCAGCGGG